GACCTGCATTATAATTTTCGAGTGACCAATAATTTCATTTTACTAAGATTTCTCATTGATTCAACTACCTCCCCTCGATCTGCTCGGAATGATACTGCGCCCTGATCATAAGGTACTTGAGATCCGCAAGGACGTTCATCATTTGCACCCTGGTAACGGCGTCGCCGCGAAATTCGGTTCTCCTCAATCTCGTAGGGATATCTTGGATCTCCTGACGCACGTGGTACCAGCCGTTTTCATGCAGGGGCACTGTGATCTCCGCTTCCTGCCCGCTATATTGTTCTTCGCCGTAAGCTATCCGCATGCCGTTATTACCCTGCGAAGGAACGAGACGCGAGGAGATTAATTTAAATATAAAAACGTTTAATCATAATCATAGTAATTTATCTTTCAAAGGCAAACAAACTAAAAGGTGTTTCAGAGGAAGAAATATACAGGGCGGCTCAATACAGGGTTCTCAGATACGGAGTGTTCGCCATTCTCCTATCTGAGAACCTTGGCCTAATAAATGTACATGATTCTTCATAGTCTTTTATGGTTTTCCTAATTGCTTATAGTTTCCAAGTGAATTTTTATTTTCAACTGTATTTAACCCCATGCACTCGTACGAGTTGTATAACAATGTATGTATTGTCATCTCCAGCATGACATAAAAGTGCAAAGGGTCAAATCATTACATGATTCTTTATACTATATTTAAATGTTATTAACTTCATACTTACAACTAGAATAATATTTGGCCCCATAGTTGGCTTTCCACTCGTGTCTCCACGCATAACGACCCAACTTATGGAATAAGTAAGATTGCTGCCATAAGACGAGAGACGATTGCCGCAATAAATTCGCGGGGCTAACCAGAAAGGATTGTCGTACTCCACATCGAACATCGCGAATGTCAGCCAATTATTGTCCGTGTCTAAAATAGGAGCAACGCTGCGAGTGGCGTTTATGTCGGTCAATAACCAATCCTCCAGAGACGATATCTGAAAATTAATTTTTGTCTGCTATTCAATTCATTTCTTTTACAATCATTTCATAGACGACTTAGATTTTGTCCATGAGGAGCACAGAAATAAAAAATTTGTACTATACGTTCCATTTCTGCATTCCAAATGTAATAAACTATAATTTATTCATGCATGTGTACTTCCCGATTTGCATTATACTTTCCTTAACAATTTTCTTAATTTTTAAATATACTTACTGCGGAATAAGACAATTTAGCAGCTGTGCAGCGATTGCTGACCCCCAAACAGTAACACGGAAGGCATCCGTCAAGATTCTCTTTGGTAAGAGCGAAATGTCCCGGTTTACACCTGTCACAGTATTCGCCAGCGACGTTGGCCTTGCAGAGGCAGTCTCCCTCGCAATCGTGGGACGGGAGGATCCCGCGGGGATCACACGGGCAAGGCATGCAGTCGGGAAATTGACGATAACCGGCCGCGCATTGGTCGCATTTGTACCCCGAGTAACCCGGTTTACAATCGCAAGCGCCTGCTACCTGGAACACGATCGATTTTTAACCCATTAAGGGATGAGAAAATAAACTGCTTTATTAATTTATAATAAAATAAGAAAAAAAATTATGATGAAGTTTTATCAACTTTACTGCTCTACTGCTGCTTTAATTAACTACTTCATTAATTCATAATAGAATAAGAATAAAAGTTATCATGAAGACTTATCAACTTGTAGATATCAATAGTGACAACATAGATTGGACGTATCATATTTTGTCAGTTAATTATAATCGTCACTTGCATGTGAACACATGCCTACCTTTCCCATGTGAGTGTAAGAATCATCAGGAGTGCAGAATCCTGTGCTACCATGAATATTGCAGTCGCATGGCACACACGGTTCAGTCGCGTCAGGAGGTACACCGTTCGGTCTATAGTAACCAATTTGACACATTTCACAATTAATTCCACTCGTATGCTCCTGGAACAAACATTTTACGATTCAAATGTAAATAAAGAAATTTTTTTACATACTTGAAAGCGTTAATAGTTTGCTAGTTGCTTAGAAAACCAATTAGAAGCATAATTCTTTTGCCAAAAGCACAGCGCAAATAGTCAATATTATACAAAGCTAAGGACGAAAGCGATTATAATTATAGCATGTTAAAAAATACAATACATTAAATATAATGAAGTTAAAAAAGTATAATACAAAGGTAACGTTCAAGCCTTAGTCTTTTTACCATCACTAAGGCAAGAAGAGAGACCCATTTATTTTATACTTCATGAGAAGACTTCGCATTTCATGCATTTATAAGAAAACTCAATATGCCATAAATTTAAACACTGC